AGGAGGGAGGAGAAGAAGAAGAAGAAGAAGAAGAAGAAGAAGAAGAAGAAGAAGAAGAAGAAGAAGAAGAAGAAGAAGAAGAAGAATATTGATGCAAGTTAAAGTGAAGTCATGTCAGATAAGCATCAGAGCCCTGACCAGAACAAGTCAAGAGTATCAGAAAGAACCAAGGATGTCCCAATAACCATCACAGCCCAGAGGGCCTAGGATTTACCTTCCACTTCTGGGCAAAGCAGCCTCCAGGCACCAAACCTATGAGCTCAGGAACACTCCTCCACCAAGTCCTATGACCATGAGCTCAGGTACAAACCTGACCCTTGAAATAGTTTCAGCCAATGGGCGTTGGGCCTGAAGCCCTCATGCTATTGGCTGAGAGTAAGACCTAAGCCCTCCTCTGGACCTCCCACAACACACTCTGCTGTTTCTCACCCCAACCCTGGCCACCATCCAATCTGGGATTTGTCCTCACCTCAAGTATCTGAAATTCTCTGTGTTAATTTTTTCTGGTCAGTTGGTAAAATGCTTGAGAACACTGTGGAGGGCAGTTAGAACAACGTTATTGCCCTTTTTTGTTATAAAAACTATTGTGTTAACAGTACAGAAATACGTTAAAAATGAAGGTCCTTCTGGTACCCCTCTCTTTGTATACTCTATTCTCACTCCTGGACAGAGGTAGTGGTAATCCATATGAGGGATTTGCTATGGACAGCCGCAATCTCCATAAAAACTCAACCACACTCCAAGTAAAAACCAAGTAAAAATTCCATCAATTTACCAAAATAGGTATATGGATAAATATAAATACATAGATATATGCATACATAATTCAATAAAGTTTCAAAGCAGATAGAATAATGCTCTCCAGCATGTTTGATAATGTCTACTATTTATTATTACTATTACTACTATTATTTTTTCCTGTGCCTTAATCTGTAACACAAAAAATAAAAGACCCAGAGACAAATACTGGGGTTCAACCTGAAGATCAGGGAAGCAAAGCAGCCAAGCTACCAGAGAGTTCTGACCTCTAACAGGGCTGGGGTGTTCCTATTCTCATTGTGACTGGAGAATGACTGCTCTATACTGAGACCTAGCTCCTGTCTTATATACCTCTCATGAGTCCTGGGATTAAAAGTGTGAGCTATAATTCTCTTTTAAGCTGATTCACTCTTGTTTAGATCCGGGTGGCCTTGGACTCACGGATATCAGTCTATCTCTTAATCCTGAGTCCTAGGATTAAAGATGTGTACCACCACCTCCTAGCTGCTGGCTGCTGGGATTAAAGATATGTGCCTGGTTTCTATGGCTTGTGGCTGACTTTGCTTTCTGAATCCTCAGGCTTTAATAAATCATAAATAATATATCACCATATTAATCCCCTTTACTTAGCTTACCTCAGATCACAAAGTTTTGGACTCCAGCTAGAACAAACTGGGCAGTTAAAACAAATTAGTAATCAATCAAGAAGCAAGGAAGCCAAAATCTCCTCAGTTTTATCTTCATTAGGTGTTCAGTGAGTTAGGGGATCTGAGTGGGCAGGAGACTTTTTTTTTCCATTAAACAATGACAAATTCCCAGAACAGCTTGTAAAATCACAAAGTTAACAAAGGAACCAATGACTATAGCAGTGGGATCTCTCTCCCAAGCTAAAGCTCATAATCTGATTCCTGGGTCACCCATGTTCCCTGTTTCTCCAACAGGCACAGACAACAGCTATAACCCCACCCACAAGAGGCGCTAGACCGGTATTTGCGTAGTAGCACCTCTGAGCACGGGCAGTACTTCAACCATCACACAGTGCGGGTCTATAAACGTCCACTTTCTGCAATGAACCTGAAAAGGTGGAGTCTGATTTAAATGCACAAGGCTCACATCACCCTGGGCACAACAGAGCTTTAGTGTCCAAAGGTGCACATCACCATAACAACCGCCAATAAAAGCTACAGCCAGCCAAAAGCTCAGGGAATGCAACAGACTCTGCCCTGGAGTGCCCATCTTGCCTCCCTATAGCCTAGGTCCCTCTCATTAGAAGCTTGTGGGTCTTTCTGTGGGTCCCTGCCTTGTCTTTGCCTGGAGAAGCTCCTAGCCTTAGTCACCTCACCCAAGAACCAAAACATAGGTTCAGTTCTCAAACAACAAAAACCTCTTTTCTTTATTCCTGTAAAGTTATTGAGAGAATAACCTACCAAGGGCAGCCACACAAAACAGAGTAAAGCAGGGACCATGGAGACAGCTCTGTCTGTAAAGCGCCTGTTGTGCAAGCATAAGGACCTGAGTTCAGATCCCCAGCACCACATGGAAGTGAGACATGGTGGTGAGTGTCTGTGTTCCCAACGCTGTGAGGATAGACGCGGCAGGGGGCCCCTGGGACTTTATGGCCAGCCAGTCTACCTTAGTTGGTGAGCCTGAAGTTCAGTGAGACACCCTGTCTCAAAAAGTAAGGAGGGAGGGGCTAGTGATACAACTCAGTGTCACAGAGCTTACCTTGGTTCAATCCCCTGTGCCAGAAAAAAAAAAAAAAAAAAAATGGAAAATGACCTAGGAAGACACCTAGTGTCAAAAAAAAGCAAGAAATTCCACAGCAGGATTCCAGCAACACCCTACTAATTTATGAAAAATATCACCAATTCAAAGGTTAAGTATGACAAGACTTGGTCACTCCCCAGGCTCGGATCCTGTTTGCTTGTTGGCACACAAGTTCAGTCTACCTCATCTAAATTGCAGTAGCCAGACTTCCAGCACTGTTGAACAGTCTTTAGTTTTTCAACTCTCCATCTCTTAGCGCTTTCCAGATCTGGTCTAACCATCCTCTTCCCCATCCTGTGAGACAGACACACACCACCTCAGCTTTCCAGTGGAGAAACAGAAGCACGGGCAAAGGCAGGTGTCTAATCCTTCCACTCAAAAAGAAGAGCCCTCCATTCAATCGCCAGGACTGCTCTGCCTCCAAAGGAGGATGTGTGGTTGGGACATGGCCCAGCTGATGAAGTGCTTGCCACTGATAACCTTGAGGGCCTGTGTTTGGGTCCTCGACACTCACCTAAAAAGCCTGGAACCTGGACAGTGAGGAGATGAAATAAAATCACGTAATTTATTTCTGCTTGATTTTTGTTTGTTTGAGACAAGGACTCACTATATAGCACTGGCTGTCCTGGAACTGGTTAATTACACCAGGCTGGCTTCAAACTCACAAAGTTCTTCCTATCTCTGCCTCCTGAGTGCTGGTATCAAAGGTGTGCGCCACCATTCCCAGCATCTTTCACTATTTTTTAATGTGTAAGATTCAGTGATCTTTAATTAGCACACTCACAGTCTTGTGCAACTGTCAGAGCATCTAATTCCAGGACATTTTCACTCCCAAAAGGGAACCCGTGACATTGAGTAGCCACACTCTCCTTCCTCTTTTTACTGCTGGAAACCACTAGTTGTCTGTGTGTCCACAAGGATTTGCTTACTTCTAGCAGCTCAAATAAACAGTCCTGAAGTGTGTGGCGGTGCCTGTGTGACATCGCGTGTGTGATGTTGCCTGTGTGGTGGTCCATGTGTGGTGGTGCTTGTGTGACATTGTGTGCGTGGCAGTGGATGTGTGGTGATCCATGTGTGGTGCCTTCCAGTTAGCAAGTGTTTTCCAGGTTTGTCCATGTTGAACCATTTCTCAGTACTTCATTTTTTTCTACAGCTGATAATATTCTCCAAAATGAGTATACTAAACTTTGTCCATCCTCCAGGTGACAGTCCTTTAGTGGCTTCCACTCTATCATAAATAATGGTGCTGTGAACATTTGGATACAAACTTTTGTGGAAACATCTGTTTTCAATCTCTTGGGTATATATCTTGAAGTGGAGATACTGAGTCATTGCTAATATATAGTACTTTGATGTTGCACTTTTAAATTATATCATGAATATTTTCTGTTATAAAATATGAGGAAAATATGAGGATTTATTGAATAATTTTTCATTGTTACACATAATAAAAAGTTTTATCACTACAGATAAAACTGCCAAGCAAATCCCTATACATAAATATTAGTACATATTTTTATTGTATCTTTAAGATCAATTTCTAGGTTGATTTACTGCATTGAAGAAGGTATTTTTTTCCTTTATTCTTTTAGCAATATTTAATATATCCTTATAT